GGGGGGGGGGGGGGGCAGCAGACGGCGGGTCTATGCAGGCTGTGGCGCAGCTGGGAAGGCGTGCTGGTGGCGGCAGCTGAGCATGGCGCGGTGGTGTTGCGGTCTCGGATGTTGTGCGCGCGACGCTGCCGCTGGTTCCTGGTTGTGGGACTGTGTGTTGTAGGGGTGGCATGACAGGGTGTGAGGAGTGCCCTTCAGCAGCCATGGTGGGGTGTTGAGCGGAGCCGGCTTGCAAATGCATGGGTGCGGCTGGCGTCAGTCGAGGCTTTTCAGTGCATCCCCACGTCTGGAGTGCCTGATGAACATCCCGCCTTCACGAGCATCCGCCGCCAGTCAGTCGCATGCAAGCCGGGCGCTCTGCCCCCCTCCCCCCACACGCACCAATCCACTCGCGTGCACGCGCACCACATCTCAGCACGCCGCTGCATCAACACCCTCGTGCCCCCCAACACAGACAACCCTTGAGCGCGTGTACGACCGCAAGAACGCGAGCGACATGGAGGCGCAGCCCTTCTACACCTGGATCCGCGACACATACATCTGGCACGTGGTCGCCCAGTTTGCGGCGCTCTACGCGCTCGGCGGCCTGGGGGCGGTGGTCTGGGGCGGCGCGCTGCGCATGTGCTGGGTGTACCACATCACGTGGTTCGTGAACAGCGCGGCGCACGTGTGGGGCTACCAGACCTACAACACCGGCGACCAGAGCCGCAACAACTGGTGGGGCGGAGGGGGGAGAGGGGGTGATTGCTAGGGGGGCTTGGCCACGGAAGCGCTGCTGGCGACGTGTGTGTGGTATGTGGGTGTACACGAGAGTTGTGCAGTTGTGTGTGTGCACGTGTACGTGGGTGGCGCAGCTTCAGCCCCGAGTGCACGTGGTCGACGCACCCTGTACGCCCCCCTCCAGGCGCCACGCGGCGCCGCGCGGCCAGCCGCGTTTCGCCGGCGGGCGCTGCGCGCCTCACCTTTTGCGCGCGCGCCCACCCACCGCCAACACCGCCCGACACCTCCTCTTGCCTGGTCTCCCCCAGGTGGGTCGGCCTGCTCGCCTTTGGCGAGGGCTGGCACAACAACCACCACGCCTTCGAGTTCAGCGCGCGCCACGGCCTGGAGTGGTGGCAGTTTGACATGACCTGGCTCACCATTTGCGCGCTCGAGAAGCTCGGCCTGGCCACCAACATCAAGCTGCCCACCGAGAAGCAGAAGGCGCGGCTTGCGTTCCCGCAGGCGGCGGCGCAGTGAGGGGTCCGCGGCTGGGGGCGCGGCGCCGCGTCCTTTCCGCCCGCGTGCGCGTGCGCCCGCCCGCGGGACGGCCCTCGAGGGTGGCTGGGGGCGCGGCGCATGCGTGGCTGAGGCTTGGTTCTGCATCCCGTGGGTGGTGAATGGGGTGTGTTTCCCCGCGCCAACTCGCGGCGTTGACTCGGATTTGTGTCTTTGGCGACTGTTGGATTACACAGCAACAGCATTTGCCCTGTACTGCAGCTGCCCGGCAGCTTCCTAGCATCCCCCATGAGCTGCCCCTGTTTGCACAGCGCTGCCCCCCCGTGCGCGCGTCGGCAACCATCACCTTGGGGCAGTGCGGCCGCCTGAATCCGTCCCGCGCCGCTGCGCTGCGCGCGCGCCACTGCGGATGCGGGTACCTGCGCTGCACGTGCGTCGGCGCGCCCTGGGCTGCGGACCCACCCTGGTGGGCTGCCTCCCGGGTACAGATGTGTAGTTTGGCCGTTTCTCAAATCCAGTCCACAACCCGCAGCTACCCCTGTGTCGTGCGCATGTTCCCACCCGTTATCCCACCCCATGACGCGCCGCCCGGCTGCCCTCCGCGCCCCCGCTGGCATGCGCGCCGCGCGGCGACCCGCGCCGCAGTAGAGCCGCGTGCGCGCTTGCCGCAGCCGTCGCGCGGCGGCGCTCTGCCATGATTTTGGCAGCGGCGCTGCGTTCGCTGCATGTGCTGTGGTGTGTGCGCGTCGTCACCGGGTTCACTGGCGCCTCACCTGGCCAGCCGTCGCACCTGGCGGTTGCCCCAGCCGAGGTGCCTGTGCTCGATTAGCGCAGAGCGGAAACGCACCCTTGCCCCACGACTTACCCACTCGCTTTGAGCCAACGTGCACCCTTGCACTTGTCTTTGCGTGCGGCCCCTCGTCTGTGCGTGCGTGTGCCCCTGTCGGTGAGACTGAGGTTGTGTAGGGCGGGCGCCGCCGGGGCGCCCCCAACCGTGCGCGCGGCGGCGTTGCCGCCCGCACGTGTTTGCTTGCTCCCGTGCGTCTGCAATCTTTCCGCATTACCGCGCACCCTCCGCGTGTGCCAGCGCGCAATCTGCGCATTTTGGGTGGCCACGCGAGAGCACTAAGGGTGCCGCGCTCGTTCCTATGTCGTTTGGCCATGCTGTGCGGCGCAGCGGCGCGCTGTGCGCGTCGGAGAGAAAAGGGCAGGAGTGCATGCATTAGGAGGGCGGCGCCGCGCAGCGGCGGTGGCGGCGCGCCCCTGCATTGATACTGGCCATAGAGGGAATGAACTCAAAAGAGAAGAGGCGTGCGCGAGTGAGCGTCGTCGTGCGCGTGTCGGAGGGGTCTCGCCGGTCGGGCGCGGACGGGCAGCAGTAGAGTAACCACCACCAGCGCTGTAATCGCTTTTCCGACAATTGTGACGATTATAACACACACATATCTGCCTGTTTGTGCGGTCAGGACCTGCAACGCAGAAGCGTCCGGTTGTCCCGCTGGTCCCCATATCGTGCAGGGGCGCGCTTTTTTGGCCCACCCCCTAGTCACGAGGTGAGGACGGCGCCTCCCATGCCTAAGCAGCGCAGACGCCGCGCCCATCACGCCTGGGCGGCGTGCAGAGCACACAGCTGGAGCGGCCAGGGCGCAGCTGCATGTGATACACGCCGCCAGCTGCGACGCGGCCCGCCGGGCGTTCCTCCAAGGATGACACATACCTTCTGATGCGCCCCCCGCGAATACAGCTATCTTTTGTTCAGTGCGCGGCCACGTCTACATTCACATTCAGCCTTGCTCATCGGAAGAAGCTCGATCGAAATTAGTGAGTTGCGAGGGATTCAACGACCGGACCTCGTGTCGGAAACGCATGTGCGCTTTGCCTGCCTGCATCGCCAATTTCACGTCGCTGACAGGATGAACTGGACATGTTGGGGGGCTGCAGTAGCGTCTGAGCTGAGCAGCTGGCGCCGCACCGCCCCCACGCCAATCCATCACACTGTTGCCATGGCCCCATTGGCCTTGTCAGCACCAATCTGATGCCCAGCTCCCTCATACCGCATCCTGTCCCTGGCTTCGCAGACTTTCGTGCACCCACAAAGCAACCCTTCAAACACCCCAAATCAAGACGGTCGCCGTCCCATCATCATGATGCGGTCGTGCACCTTTGCATCGGCCGGCCCGATGCGCGCCGCCCCCTCCCCCCTGGGCGCGCCCCGCGTCCCCCTCTCCGCGCCACCGCTCGCCGCCGCGCGCCCCTCTGCCCTCCTGCCCCACCGCGCCGCGCGCCGCGTCGCTGCGCGCGCGGCGACCCCGGACGACCCCCGCACCCCCACGCCGCTTGCCGGCGGGCCCGGCGGCATTGGTGGCGGGCCGACCGGCGGTTACGGCGGCCGTGGTGGCGGCGGCGGCGGCAGCGGCGGCTCCGGCGGCTCCGGTGGCGCTGGGGGTGGCGGCAACTTCGGAGGTGGGTGATCGGACGGCGCTCGCCTGTACCGCATGGATGCACTCGCACATTATCCCGAACACAAGTGCTGCTCGTGCCCCGCACCAACCACCAACAGCGTGTCGTCTGCCCCCTCATGAACTGCATCCCGTCCCTCACTAAGTCCCACCTCTCCTTTGCGGGTCGTGCCCGGCCCGCTCCTTAGCACCTCAAGCCCTCCCCAAACCACTCCACCCCTCTCCACCCGATCCAAACCCCCTCCAGACAACTTCCCCAATGGCGGCCCCGGCAAGGGCGGCCCCTGGTGGAACGACCCTACCTACTGGGTCGGCCTCGCCCTGGGCGCCGCGCTTGCGCTGCCCCTAATCAACGGCCTCAGGGAGGGCCGCGGGCCCCACCGCCAGGACAAGGTGCGAACTGGGACTCATTATAATCGTTCGGCTTGTCGCTTACAGACATTTGTGCCTCCGCCCGGGGAGTTCGATGCCTGGGTTTGATGGGAGCGCACGCTTTGTCGCACCCAGCTCCCTCAGGGTGCTGCGTCGCATCTTTCTGCCTGACGACGAGGGCGCGGGGCCCAAGCCCGACTTTTGCGTCGTGGGGGGCCGACACACGGTTTCCCCCTTGACTCACCACGCCCGCACGCCCGGGCTGTCTGCGCTTCTCCAGGTTGGCCCCTCTCTCCGCCTTGAAACATCCCTTCGCCCCTAAACCCACTCGATTTCCCTTTCCTCCCAATCCCAGGTGGAGGAGGGAATCGACAGGACCGCAGATGCCGCCAAGGACGCATACCGCAGCACCAAGGTGCGCCTGCTGCCCTGTGCTGGCGCTTGATGGGGGGAAGACGCTGGGACGCAACGTCTCGCTGCAGGACAGAGCCCAGGATGACAGTGACTGTGGCACAAAGCTTCCCCAATGTGACCAGAGCGGATCTGGACGGTTTTGCTGCGGCTTGTTTCATCACAAGAATTACAAGTATTGCCTGAGGGCGTTAACTGCCTTAGAATGAGGGGGGCAAAGCTCACAAAAAACAAGCTCGCACGGTGCTGGGTGTACACACAAAATTGGTTGTGGGATCGGCACGAGTGCCAACACAGGCGGTCACGCGCGATGTTGCATAAGCATGCGTGCGCCCTCCTTGCTATTTTCTTGGCTGTTTTGACACCATTGCGCCGCCCTGAAACGTCCCAACAGCGGTGTTGTGGCATCGCCCCGGCCTTCCCACACCTTTTACAAACCCTGCCGTGTGTTGTCCACCTTGCCAACCCAGGGCGTGGCTAAGGGCGCCAAGGGGGCCGCGTCCAAGGGGGCCTACGAGGTGGTGGGGGCTGCTGAGGTGGCCAAGGAGGAGACGCAGGGTGCCCTGGGCGCCCTCAAGCACCACACCGTGCGTGGGAGGGGAGGTAGAATGGGGAATTGGCGGCTTATTGCCGATAATTCGGGCTTGCAAGCTCCCTTTCGCGCTTTCGTGTGCCCGTGACGGGGATGCATGGGAGTTTCTGTGATTGTGTTCGCTTGTCAATGGGGTGGGATTGCGCCTTGGTACCCGTGGTGTGCACCCTTTGGATTTGGTGAGGACTGTATCATGGCAGCCACCCCACGCCTTGTGTTTTGGAATTTAATTCCAATCCAATCGATCAGTTCAACGGGGTGAAGTACACAATGACGACTCCGACACACACGCGTCATTGTGACCCCTTCTAGACATATCAACATCGGTGCCCTTCCTCTCCTCCCAAAAACACACTCAGGTTGATCCCGTGGCAGGGGCCGTGAGCGGCGCTGCCCATGCTGTTGGTGACAAGGCCGCGCAGGCCAAGGACGCCGTGCTGCACAAGGGTGGGTCCAGGGGGCGGGGCAGGGCCAGGGCTCTGCGCACAGCACATTAGCGCCTCGCGCTGCGCTGCCTTCCGCCCGGCTTGCTGGCTGCCTTGGGATCAAATATGACTCTTTGACAATCGAGTCATGTCGCGTGCCCTGGTGTCAGAATTCCGACTGTTGGTAGATAAAGTCATCTGTTGCCTTTTACCATTTGGAAGTAAATCTGCGTGCTCACGTTGGGATTCGAACCCCCTCCACCCCGCAGCGGAGGACGTGCGCCACGGCGCCCACGACGCGTACGTAGACACTGCCCACGCCGGCAAGAAGGCCGGCATCAAGTGAGGCGGGGACAGGCCGGGCCTGGTGGGGGCGCATCGTCTCCAGAAGCGTCCCTCAAGACTGGAGTGCCGGCCTGATGCCAGCAGACTGCCGGTTGTCATGCTGTGTGGCTTGATTTCCTTGCAGGCACCTCAGACCTGGCGTAATAATCCCAAGGCGTGCCTTGTCTGCAATTTTACCGCCTGTCCTAATTCCAAGGCTCTTTTGAGCTGAGTCCAGCACCACCGTCCGCTACCTGGCCATTGTCTACCGCAGGGCCAGGACAGCCGCCGAAGAGACTGAGCACAAGAGCCGCGGCTGGGTCGCCCGCCTGTTTGGCCGTGGCAAGGTGGGGCCTGCCGTGGTGTTGGTTCTGCCTGTTTTTTTGCGGGGGGGGGGGGGGGGGAGCAAAATTTGAAGGGGCACTTAAGCGAGTATTGTGCGAAATCATCACTCTCATTAACAGCATGGTGACAGAGCAACATCATCCACGCGTTGTTCATTCCTACATTGCCCGACCCCTCACCCTGGCAACGCCCTTTCACATCATTTGCCGCGCCCGCACCCGACAGCACGCGGCGGAGGACGCGCGGCACGCGCAGCGCCAGGCCGCCATCGACGCCGAGACGGCTGCTGCGGAGGGCAAGCAGAAGGCCAAGGGCTTTGGGGCGCGCCTCTGGGGCCGCGGGGAGGTGCGTGACCAGCCTGGTACTTCTAGCCCACTGCCACACTGGAGGCCGCACTTACATGTTGGGTGGAACATACACGAACGTTCGCTTGAGCTACAAGGCATGAGCTCAAGCGAACGTTCGTGTATGTTCCACCCAACATGTTGTCAGAAATGAGATACTGCTTGTTGTGTGATGCAGCCTTATCCGGTTGGTATTCGTGGTGCGCTTCTGCAACCCTGATGGTGCGGCGTCATTCTTGACTATCCTGTTGTGCTGCAAAACACTTCAGCACCTCTGGCCTCACCTTGCACAACCTTTTGTCGGTTTGCAGGAGGCGGTTGATGATGTGGAGCGCAAGGCCTCCAAGGCCAAGGACAAGGGGCGCCACGCGGGCAAGCAGGTGGGCAAATCAGTAACGCGAGTGCGGGGATCGCGGGCAGCCTTGCACCAGTCCTTTTAAAGCCATTCTGGTTCTGTTAGGTGCAAAGCGTGCATTGCAGTGATAACAAGCACGACCATGGCTTTCATTCAGGGATTGACAAGCTGGTTTTCACTGGCAAAACCTTGTGCTGTCGATGCTAATGGTCTTGGCAAGGCGTGAGCTTAATCCCTGGCGCTCCCCCGCGATGCACCCCCGCAGGCCTCCATCAGCGCCGACAGCGCCAGCCACCGCGGGCGCGAGGTGACCGAGGGCGCACGCGGCAAGCTGGCAGGCGCTGCGAACAGCGTCAAGGAGGGTGTTGGCGCCGCCGCCGGCAAGGTAGGGTCACGGCCTCCGCTGTGTTGATCCTGCGCCAGCCTGACTGCTGAATTTTCTGTAATTGTGCATGGCTGATTCCTTATGGGTTGCACTGCATCTGAGCCTTCTCAAAATATGTTTGAAGCAGACAGACAAGGCGCCATATTCCTGCTGCGTGGTAACCGCCAAAGACTGATTCCACAGTACAATTACAGACCGTCTCCTAACTTACACAAACCCCTGCCATGCTCCCGCCAGGTTGGTGCCGCGGGCCGCGCGTTTGGTGAGAAGGTGCATGAGGCCGGCGAGGAGATTGAGGAGGCTGCCTCCAGGAACCAGACCGCGGTGTACACAGGTGCGTAAAAGCGCACACTCTTAACGTTTCCTAGCTTCCTGTGTACTGTCTCACATGCGTGCTGAGGCGCGAAACAATGTCTCCGCTTCCAAATTACGGCGCGGCACGCGCCGCACGACCCATTTCACAAAGCAGCGGGTCGCCTGCGCCCGGCTTCGCCTCCACCCCAAACTCGCTCGCCTCACCCCACTCCTCCCTCTCTGCCCCCTCAAAACCCCTCAGCTGCGGGCGTGGCGGTGGGCACGGGCCTCCTGACGGCGCTGTACCTGGCCACCCCCAAGGAGACTAAGGACCGCCTTAAGGGCAACTTCAGGAGGGGCGCCGAGAAGTGAGCACTCACTATTTGGGGGTCTCGATGACTGGTTTAAGGGCCTGGATTGGATCGTTCCTCAGTCCAAGGGACGGAAGCAGGGGAGAGGGGTGATTAATCTTGCAGGAAATCTTCACGTCAGGGGCCCCAACCTCGTGCTGGAGGTTTGGTGTCAGTACTCCTGCCTTTAGCCCACCAGCTCGCAAGCTGGTGTGACCCGGCGTAACTTTTGCCCCCCTGTCATCCGCCGCGTCATCCGCCAGGGCGCGTGACGGAGCGAGGAACGCGGTGCGCTCCGCAAAGGACGGCGTGAACACCGCTGTGGACAAGGTGGGTGGTCAGGGTGGTATCTTGTTTCTCTTGGGGGGTCGCTGGCTGTGCGCATTGACAGGGCGACTCCTGGCGTTGAGGGTTGAGGCAGCATTGCTTTGGTGTGGATTTGCCACCACCCACCATTAACAGGTATGCTGCAGGCTGCAGGCTTCAATCACCTGCCCGCTTTGCTGTTGCTGCCACGCCCCGCTCCATCATGTGTCGAAGTTCTTCACCACCTGGCTTCACCCTCTAACACACACACACACACACACACACACACACACGCACCACAGGTGCAGGGCGGCCTCGAGTCTGGCAAGCAGGGCACCCAGTCAAACCTTGAGAACTCCAAGGACCCGGCGGTCAAGGGCATCGACAAGGCCGAGCGCAACGTCGGCGGTGCTGTCGACGCTGCCAAGAGGGAGGTTGACCGCGCCCGCCCCCGCTAAGCGCGTCGCTCCTTGACGAGTCGGCAGGCAAGGTGCATCCATTGATTGGTGCCGCAGTCGGGACGTGGGCTGCGAGCGGCTTGCTATTTGATGGTTGGGGACAGTTGCATCTGCTCACAACATGGATGGCTGAGGAGAAAACAAGGTCGTAGATTCTGCTTGTGCACAGGTGATCATACACACTCTCCAGCCTGAAAAAGCACATGAGGGTACGTGATGAAAGAGCGCAACGGCGAACTTCTTGATTTGCCGGATTGCCGCTGGCGTGATGCAAAGTACCACGATGCTGTGCTTGGGGCAGCCCTGGGCTGATCTGCCCCTTGTCAAGCTTGGAGCGTGATTGGGGCAGTAACTTTCACACGTACAACGTGGCGCCTGCATGCGCCCAAAGCACCTTGCCCCGCCCAGAGCGTTCAGTTGCTTTTGCTGCGCCTGCGATGCTGACTGTTGGTAAGTAGTGCTCTTCAACCAGCCCTTGTAATCAGGGTCGTTCCATCCTAGGACTGCGGCAGTGATGACACGCAGGTGAGTGTAGGCTTGGGGATCATATGTGATCACAGGTCCATCAAAAGGTCAAATCTGAGGCGTACCCAGCTTCATCCTGCCAGTGAGGCATACCAACTGATGATAGTCCATGAAGTAGCCAGAGCAAAACTAAGCCCGATACCTGATTCGTCTGAGCCTCCATGCAGCTATGCAGCCGCTGCCAAGCCATGAAACCCACCTGAGGTGCCTCCAAAACTCAGGGCCGTCACCAGTGCATTTCATGGCGCAGTAGCATTTCATGGCGCAGTAGCAGTCAAGACGCGAGGAAAGGAACCTGGAGATGCTGCAACAACTTCATGCTGCTGGTGTGTGCTTAGCTGATGTGTGCACTGACTCTTAACACACACCCTTGATGCGGGATGCTTGCCATCGCTTAGGTTTGGCTGGACGTTGCGCTTCACATCACATATGTGCTCTGGTATCACTGACCATGAAGTTGTCCTGCCATGCAGCTCGTTTGCTACTGGCTGATGCCATGGCCTGCCATGACGCTGCTCATGCGGAGGGGAAAGTTGGCCTAGCGGCGCAGGCCTTTAAGCCACAGACATGTCGCGCCTGGACGCCGCGCGCACCGCGATGGCGACTCAAGAGGCGCGCCACCAGGGCGTGCAGCAGGGCATGAGCAGTTGGTGTCGTTAGCTGTACTGAGGGGCTGCAGCGGCCTGCGAACAGGTGCAACTCATATTCGCGAGGCCACAGACATCAGGGTTTGCGGCGGAGATGGAAGGCAGAGATTAAGCCATGGGACGTAGCTGGTGGTAGAGCACAATGCCCCACATGTTCTGCAGCAGACACAAATGATGGATAGTCTGGTGCAGGACTGTAAAAGCACAGGATTGTCGTGTCGAAGTGCATCATGGCGGTTGTTGCTGCTGTCGCCGGTGCCTTCCTCAGGTTCTTAGTGGTGCATGTGCTGGATTGCTTGCTTAGCCACACCCACAGCTGTATGAGACTGTATACGAATTATTATCATCTTGTCTTCGTGATTATATCCGACACAGCCTCCTGGGGTCTCGATCCGCTGTGTGATCTGGGCCGCCCGAAAGCCAAGGGGCACAATGCTGCAGGCGCACATGTTGACGCGAGTTTTAGCATCAAGACCCCAGCTCTTTGTATCGGGCGCTGCCGCAGGCAGGTCACGGTCAGTACCGTTGTGTGCTGCTGATGCAACCCCTGCTCACAGTCGTTCATCTTGTATAATGCAGGATGGCGCTTCCTATCAACTGGGGGTGTGCGTGTCGAGAAGGACACCATGGGGGCGCTGGAGGTGCCAGCTGACAAGTGCGTCTTGAAGTCGGCAGAAGAAAAAGCGTGCGCCGCCGCATTCTGCGACTGTCGAAAAGGCTGTCGCTATGCACGATCGCCAACAATGCTGAATATGACAAAAGTAGATATATCAACGATTTGCGCTGGCCTGATGCGCAGGTACTGGGGCGCGCAGACGCAGCGGTCCCTCCAAAACTTTAAGATTGGCGGCCCGCGGGAGCGCATGCCGGAGCCTGTCGTGCGCGCGTTTGGCGTGCTCAAGCGCGCCGCCGCCAAGGTGCGGCATCCCTTCTTCCCAGCCAGGCGATAGGACTCGCACCGGCAGGCGAGGGGTGCATCAGGTGCCACGTGGCAGGCGCCAGGCCCCTCTACCCTTTCAGCAGCGGGTGTTGAGCTGCCTGGCGCCTTGTGCGGGCGTCGGCCGCCTGGTTTGGTGCCTCGCACCCAGCACCGCCACATGGGAAGTTGGACGAGGGGAGCCTCTTCTCTTATGCCGAGTCTCCGTCACTGCAGCGTTTAGAGGCCCTATTCCCGCGCCGCCCCCAGGTCAACATGGCGCAGGGCGTGCTTGACCCGAAGATCGGCAACGCCATTGTGGAGGTGTGAAACATGGGGAGGGGTTAGGTGATGGTGACGCCTTCACAGCTGGTCCTGCAAAGGCGCTGCTGCATTCATGGCAACGAGGCGCAGGCTGCCTCCATTCAGGCAGCAGCAGCAGCCACAGGCTTTTGGCACAAGCATCACCAGTATCACCACCATCAGCAGAGGCAGTAGCAGCAGCAGCTACAGCAGCTCTCTCTCTCTCTCTCTCTCTC